GTTCTGTTTATCATATTAAGATACATTTTTTTGATGAAAAAATGCTAGATTGCAAGTGTAACATAATAGAACCAGCAAGCACTGCCAGCAGGTCTGAGGAAGAGGGAATAATTCAGAGATATTGTCACCTGTAGGCCAATTTATATTGTCAGACAGCAGGTTCACATTAGTCTCTGATGTCACTGCAATAATGGCATAATATAACGATTGAGCAAAGAATACCTGTGGGGTACAGCTATACGGTGTGGTATATCTCTACTTGTTAAAGCGTTTCAGGATTCATTCAAAGCAAAATCAGAAGCAGCAGAAGACCGAGATTAAAAAAAGAGCGAGAAAATGGTGCTCATAAAGACTTCTGAATATTTTAGCCCTTGTTTCGTGATGATGAAGCAAGCACAATGTTGTATCTCATTGATTCAGTGGGTTCATGATTAAAATAAACTAATGTAGCAATTTAGGGGTTTTGTGCTTCCTTTTTTTCCCCCCCTCTAACAAGAAAAAAAAGCTTTTTAACAGTTTCTCGCGGCAGGCATAATGTGCATCTGTGCTCTGATTTACTGCACATGCTGCCTTCTCCAGCATCATGTTAAGTTAGGGTATCAGCATGGTAGGTCACACAGTGGGAGTGACCTTTTGCTAATCACTACACATCAGTTACTACTGGCACACAGCTCATTACTAAGAAACCCTCCAACTCGCTGGCTTTCAAATCCGCTCACACTTTGATTTTATTTTTTTTCCCTTTTCTTTCTTTCTTTTTTTCCCCCAGACTAAAGATTACACTTTTACATAAAAGCTTCTGTTGTGTAATTTTGTCAACTAGGGTTCCAAAGTCAAAAAGGCACCCGGTTAATTTTCCACGATTATAAAAGGAGCCTGAAAACTCATACTGAAGGTAGGCCTGTAATCTTGGGTTTCATTAAAAAGGTCAGAACATTTTTACTCACCACCTATTATTAAAATGTTCGAGGGCTGCCATTAATTTGATTTTTCAGGACGCAGAAATCTCACTGGAAATTAGAACGTAATCCTGCTGTTGCTTTTACTGACACTTTTCATAGGGTAGGATACGGCTGCAGGGACTAAGAGCTCTCCTGCAATTTACAATTGGTTACTTTGGACAAATGGCAGGTGACTAATGCAAGACAAACTGTTTGTACAACCTGGGAGCACCGGGTTTAATTTCAGTTTCTGAAAGAGGGGAGAAAGTGTTTCTATTGATGTTGAACCGCGATCTGTCCCCTGCCAATACATCTGCCACATTTAATACACAACACCCCCCCACCCCCGACAATGTGATTATTAGAGGTACAAAATTCAATAGCTTAAGAATACAAAACATAGCTGGAGCAAAACGAAATGGGTTTTAACTTACCGGCCATTTGCTGAATGCCGCTGAAGGCACCCAAGTTACTGGAGGAAGTTGCTTGCTGCAGGAGCTGCAAATTAACAACACAACACAGCAATCTATCTGACGTTAATGTAACAAATGAAGATAAAACTAAACTGAGCTATCATTTCACGTTTGGACTATTTATGCTTTCCTTTATGTTTATATAGTCTCTTGCTTCTGTCTATTGTTGGAGTGAACATCCCTAGAGTCAATGCTGTAAATCCATATTAATGTCTAATCTCTATTAAGAAACACAGAGACACAAGGGAAACTCAATAACATTGCTGCTTTAAAACAATTAATCAATTTATTCTTTTTAACAACCAGGTGTTAAATCTATTTAAACCAACATAGCGTGACTAATTACAACCCTCTGTAGTCTAGTAGTTACCATAACTCATCTCTGTCAATCACGGTCCATTCTCCCCTACCCCTTTGAATTCAGTTTTTTTCTTTATTATCTTTACGAATCAAGCACACAGATACCCATTAGACTGGCATTTGTATATAACAATTTAGCCTACCTCAGTATTAATTAGCCTACCTGGGTGCTAATATATATTTTTAATTGCAAGGTAAATTGCTGTTTATAATTATATTGCTATACCAAAGCATTGTATGCATACAGATGATGCACTTGTGAACACACGGTACGTATACATGGACACATCTATTTGTCTAATGCAGAACCATCAGGGACTCCCCAAGTTATCCAAAAGCTGCTCAACCAGACCTCGCAACTCCAAAGCCACAAAAGGCAGAGACCCCTTCCCAGCTGTGCTGCGGGGAAGACTCCTTTGGCCACCCAGGCCTTAGGACACGTGGCTGTGGATTTCAGATTTCTCCAAGAGGGGCAGCAGCTGATGCTTTTTTCTCATTTTACAAATAGACCAAGGAAAATACCATATTAAATTTGTGAGAAACAAATGGCTTTCCCCTTCCATCTTCATTTTCTTTACAAGGTAGCATGAACCACGCATGTTTAGCATTGACTGCACTACACATTAAAGTGAAAGCCATTTCCAAATGAAAATGTGGAAAATTAAGTGTATTGAACCATAACATTCTAGTTTAGGGGCTGCACCACATAGATATGGCCCTGCACTATTCAGCTGCCTATCTGTCCTCCCCTAATGAAGAGCTTAAATTTTATTCCACCTATAAAACCCAGGCTCTTAATGTACAAAGGAACAATAAAATTAATGGAACCAAATCTTATTTTGCAGCATGAGTAAGCTTTAAATGCTTGCCTTGGACAGCACTGACACATCTTGAAATGTTTATTCAAATTTTATTCCTTGTTATTTATTTTTAGACCATGTGCTAAACATAGGGAGTTTTTTTATCTAGTAGAAGACATGCTATGTATCCTGGAGGAATTTATTGCAGAGAGTTTACTATAGGTGATTTAACACAATTCTAAAATAAATACAGTATAATACAGCCACCACCTTTGCAGTGAACTTACAGCTAGATACTGTGGTGTGAGTCCCCCAAGACCGGTGAGGTTTCCCCAAGTGGCAGTATTGAGCTGTTGCATCTGCTGTGCCAACTGCTGCTGCAAACGCCGCTGCTCCTTGTCCTTTTGGGTATCGGCAAACTTCACCACGATTGGCGAAGAGCAGCCCTGTGGTTAGACAGATCGGGAAAGACAGAAGTGTTAATCCCACCGAGTCACCTGTGCATCGTGAGCTCAGCCATGCCCCACAGGGCCGCCAGCATTGGCACAATCTGATCGCTCACCCTCTCTCTGTGACTGGCATATGTAGCTCCACAAGGACTAAGATTTTCAGCTTCTTATGAAAAGAGGCTATGGAGGAATTATTGATTCCCCAGTTCTTTTTATAAAGCACCTTTCCTCAGGCTCTCTTTTCTTTCCAGCTATCAAAATTGCTGCCAGAGACAGTGAAGTGTACCAGTCCTCTTTAATTAAGCTTCACAGCTGATGAGATGGATGTGATGCTTTGTCTGCAGTCTGTTTTCAAGGCATCGCCAAAGGGAGAGGTGTCCAACCTCCCTGCTGCCAGGGACCACACAGCCAACGCCTCCCTGCCACCACCGTCTGGCTGTGCGGCCACGCTTGGTGCAGCTGGCTTGTGTACCCTACGTAAATAGACTGTGAGCAACAGATTAGTTCAGCACCCATCATCAGCAGCTCCCTGGTCCTTTTCCTGTCAAGGACCTCCAGTCCCAAGTGAGCACAAAGGGCGATGCTGCTAGGACAACTCACCCATCCGCGGCCTGCTCCCAGGCACGCTTTGCAACAAGCACTCTAGAGATGTGAGCAAAGGGCAGGATGCAGACCAAAACTGACTGGTTCTGGGGATAGCAGACCATTCCTGATCGCCACCATTTCTTCTATTGCTTCTATGAGCCTCTTGTTACCTGATAAGGGAGGGCTGTAAGAAAGATCTAGAGATCTGGTCTGCAGCCTACTCCTCACCCATGGCTGAGGGACCCTTGAGAAGAAGTAGGTGGTCATGGACTAGATGGACTTTTGAGGTAAGCTGGCTATTTCCCTTGGACTTCAGGTTGGGTACTCCTGGGCAAAGTCACTGAAAGAACGAGACATCTGAATATGAAAGATGTCTCTGTTGCTCTCGCTCTATTTCCCATATAAAACATATAAAAATATGTTTTCATATTTTAACCTTTCAAGTCTTCATTTTTTCATATCAAAGGAGCAAACTATAAACTGCAGTGATTCAGTTCTTCAAATTAATTCAAGCATTTTGTGAGTCATAAAATCTGTCAATCCATTTCATGCTGTTTTCCAACTCCACAGGAACCAATGAATAACTTCCCTCCACCCGCCATGCTTTGCTATACTAATTTCCTGTCTAAGCTCAATCTGAACACAATGGCAGGAGTGAAAGGTGACTCAAGTCCAAAAAACACAGCAGCGCTTTAGCCAAAGTGTATAGCGTGGGATGAGGAGTGGGGTTATGCTTAACCTAACTCCTCCCATGGCTGCGCTCACAACGCTGTGAACATCTTCAGAAAAGTTCCTGTCCTCTGTTATTTACGAAAAGCAGCCATGTACCTTTTCTCTGAAGAACCTCACAGCAGGAGAAATGGTAAGAATATTCACAATCAACAGAGGAAATGATGAAATAAACCACAATAATAATATCTCTTGCATGGAGATCTCCCATCAATACTGTTCCTTAGAATCATCCTAGAAAATCATCGCTTGTGATTTATTATTCCACCTCCGACTCCTTTCCTGTGCGTTTCATTGTAAAAAATGTCGTTCAGTGTTTCAGTGAGGAGGAATGGAAATATGTACCACTCCAGCAATCAAATAAAGATTCTGAAGGAGTCAGCTTGTTACACAATTACCTCTCTGTAGTGATTTTTGTACTAATATTAAAAACAAGACCCTTTAAAAAAAGGAAAGGAAAAGGAGCTGGGGGGTGGAGGGGGTGAGAGAGCTTTTTCCTGGTTTCACTAGTAAAAACGGAGGCTGTTTCTGTTTAATATGAGATTTGGTAGCACTGGGCTAAGAACAACCAGAACGTACTGCCTTCTACCTAGATGTACAGGAGAATCAAGTCTATTTCCAAAGAAACAGAAATGACTTTTAAAGGAAGAAATATTATATGGCTATTTCAGTTCTCAGTTCAGAGCTCAGCACTCAACACTACAGCTGACATCAAATTTATGAATGCTTAAATGTCAGTAAATTATATAAAAACAATATCTCTGCAATTTATGAATCTATAATTCACTTTTTCACTGTCTGCTCTGTATTTCATCACTTTATCATTTTCAAGAGAGCAAACATTCTGAAGATTGAAATTATATGTAGCAAGTGGCTCTATATGAGAAAAGGGTTGTTATTGTTGCATCAAATTTACTCCATGAGAACAAATTAGTGTCTTCTACTTGTGCTGCATTTGAATGTCTTAAACAAACAAAAAACCTCCACAGAAATGAGCTAGAGGAGCAAAGATTTAGAGCAGCAATTACGTTTTTAAAAACAATTTATGTTTTTTAAATCAGTTGATTTAACCAGGTCAGAAAGCCAGGTGGGAAGGGTAGGAAGATAATTCATTATGCTATGAGATGTGTTCATCTGGACATTAACATCCCCATTGTTCCTTCTTAGCCCACTTTGAAAATTCATCTTGGTGAAAATTCAATGATGCGTGCCAAAGAACTGCAAATAACAAAGTCAGAGAAAGAACTTCTGCAGTAATCGGGTTGAAATCCAATTGTGTACTACTTACTGTCCCCTCAGTTCACTTCTGTTTGCAGAAAACCATGCAACAGAAGCATCCAAGGACCACTGTTTCAGGCTGAGAGTCAGGATTTAACACTAGCTAACCCAAGTTAACTTTTGACTAGATGACTATTGGCAAAAGCAAGCAATTTTTCTTTGCTTAAAGAATGATTTGTGTTTTATGCTCTTCTATTACTTATCTTAGGAGGAAGCTCCCAGCACAGACATAGGGTGCAGCTCCCTTCCTCATTCAATGGCCTTGTATCTCCACCCCATTTAGTGTCATTTTCTTCCCAATAGTCGTTGCTGCCTTCATATTTTAATTTGTGTTGCCAGGACAGTAAATACAGACCCCATTGAGTCCCTCACTCAAGGAGCTGGAGGCTGCACAGCTTCTCTCCAAGAAGGGACTCTCAGTCTAAGCTCAACTGGCACCAAGACCCAGGTGTTCAAAGTGCAAAACATCTGGAATTGCCTTGCCAGTTTGGGGATCTCGTTGATAATGCCTCTAAAGGCGGTGAGTATTTTGATCCAAGAGTAACTATTCTATAGAGATAATGTCAACAGGAGTAACACATCAAAACGCAGCCTCTTGTAGAGTACTGCTTACAACAGGCGAAGGGAAGAATTTGCCTGGGAGATATTATCTCTTTAATTTTACCATCTTCTGAAGTGGAGCTGAGTAAAATTCATTTTGCTAGACAGAAAAATACATTAAAACACATGGAAAATATAGGTAAAGCACAGTATTACCAATAAACAGTTCATTTTTACTTGGAATCAAACCCAGAAAAACATATAGATCTGCATTAATGGAGCAGTGCATAGCAGACAAATTACGAGTATTATTTCAGAGACTCAAAGTGGCAGTTTTTTCCACAATATACTGTCAGACTGCATAGACTGTATAACAGCAGCTTTCTAGTAAAGATAATTTCAATTATTCTCATCTCATTGGCAGATTCTCATCTAAAACTGTATACTCGGGGTCTAAAAATGCATTGCACTGAAAAGAAAACACATCGATTATAAAAGAAGCTCAACCAAATTCAAACGTGATGCTTGGAAAGACAACAGCTTTGCAATGCCGATATCATTACTTGTAGTATACAGGAAACAGTTAGTGACATTTTCATGCACTGGCTTGGTTTTTCTCTCCTCTTTGGTCTCCTCTCTCCACCCTCCCACCCCTGGTCTTCCCCCTTGGCTCGTTACACAAAGCAGCTCAACGACATGACGCAATAATGATTGTTCAGCACCCAGCATGCTTTGGGAGACTAGAGCATTGCAAAGGAAAATCACTGAGAAAAGAAAATCAAATCGAAAGGTCCTGGTGGAAAAAGAAATAACTAAATAAAAAAGAAAAAAAAAAAGAAACAAGTGCACATAACATCAATGCCACCTCTGAGAAAAATCATCACTACACGAAGATACAGTATACATAATACAGTATAACATGCACGCTCCAATGATAAGCTAGAAGATCCAGAGTAAGTAAAGACTTCATACTTGTGCGGTTTTTTGTGCAAAATTCTGAAAGACCATGACAAAAATCACAGACTGAAAAAAGTTTTGAGATTGCCAGACAAGCTGTGGCATTCGATAACCACTCCAATGAACGGATCGTCAGCCTGCGGCTCTGTAGTCATTAACTGAGCAGGTTTAAAGTTTTGTGTTGCTCATCATCATAAGATACGAGGCCGTAGAGGCGGTTTGGGAGGAAATAAAGTGCATTGCTTGCGAGGGGCCAGCCACGACAGTGCTCTGCAGGAAGTGCCACACTCCGATATGCTCTGTCATCATTAGCATTTTTATTGGCTACATGAAGAAGGAGAAATTATATTAACTTAAAAAGAGATTCTATTTGCAGAAAAACACATGCACTGGTAACTCAGCGTGGCCAGGTTAAATCTCCTGAGCTTTTTCTCAGAGCAGCGCAAACCGCAACACTTAGAAATCTATTTAAAAGAAACAAAGGCTTTTCTTCGGGGGTGTGTGTGACAAAATTAAAGGTAATTTACTCATCAGATATACTCTGAGTATGACTGAGGAGAGGTATTCACAGCTTTTTTTATGTTTTCTGATGAATGCCACTGAAAACAGGATCGAGAGCCGTGTTTGGGTACCACACAGCAACCTTATTGTGCGCTTTCAGGTCATTAAGAAAAAGCAGCTTCATCAAGAGAGGCAGAGTGAGCCGGTAAAAAGTTTAAATCTGTGATTGTCATGTGTCTGGTCTGGTCCAGGAGAGCATGGCTTTACCATTCGCAATCATTTGCACAAAGAAAACAAAGAAAGGGCAAATGATACAGTACTGTACCTCCATGGTCTGAGACTGGTGCATGGCTTTGATTGCATTCTGTGCCATTGCCCTTGTAGAAAATGTGACAAACGCACAGCCTGTGGGAACAAGGGGACAGGGAGCAGGAAAGACAAAAAACAACAAGACAAAAGGGTTGGACGCTTGTTAAACCAACACAGTCTACGAGAACGGCCACAAGACGACACTGTTCTCAGTAGTACATAAAAATAAACAACTTCTCTAGTTTATTTATCGACAGTGCTGACTTGCTAATCTGACCATAGATGAAAGAAAAAAAAATTAGGTGGGGATGGGTGAGGAGAAAGGGTTTTTTCTTCTTCAATTTGCTCTTTTTTTCTTCAATTTATTCTTTTTTTTTCCTCCTTTTTTGTCTTTTCTGGTTTTTTATTTATTTATTTTTTTTTTTAAATTTTAGCCACAGGGTTTGAAAGAAGTACGGCTTTTGTGTAGTCTTTGGATTGCATAGTTTAGCCTATTCAGGCCATGCATTAACAACTGCTTGCTATGGCTTTTGTGCAGGTAAATTGTGCATAGTGAATAAGTGACTGGCATCACTGGCAGCTGAACTGGGAATTTAAAGGAGTCCATAAAGTCACATATTTCCGTGATGCACCAAGAACAACCATACAAATAAGGATGAGAAAAACTCCACTGTTAACCCTTTGACTAAGTGTGGAAAGACTCAGACAAAATTCAGTAATGTAGGTGGAATCTCAACATTTAAGAAAATAACATACTAAAAATAAAAGTCTTTACAGGTTTTGTCTCTCCGAGGCCTAGGTACAAGCATAATTCTTTGATCTGTGAAAGCTTCCACCAACTTGAACAACTCTGAAGCTACGTGCATGAATAACTAAAAAATCTCCCTCCTCAGCCGTTTAAATTGCAATGAGAAGCCAGCAGGCTCACGCCTGGGCTATTTTTCCACCCTTTTACTACTGTCAACCGTACCTACACTGGGCATGGTACAGGTCAACTTTTTTAGTGCATGACTCACTGCCCTTTCGAATAATAAAAACATTGCCTTCTGAGATTTACATTTTATTCCTCATGCACCCTTGGGCATCTTAAAGAAAAAGACTGTGAAATTAATGCAGATTCAGGCTGATTTTGTAATAATACCATGGCACACTAAAAGCTTAGCTAAAGCAACACAGACTTATTTCACTTGTGATCTCTAATGACTTTAAAAGTGCATTGATTTTCAGCTCCCTTAGCCTTGCACAGTTTGAACTTAGGTTTCAGAGAATAATTTAGTGTTCCACTCAATTTCCCCAAAACATTATTATTATTACTACTTAAAAGATTTCCAAATGAAGCAAATCTAAGCACTGAGAGGCTAAAGCATATTGTCATTTTAGAGCTAATGCATGAGAGCTACATTCTGGCATCAAAAACACAATATTGTTGCCCCTGTGGCCAATGGGCAAAATAAACCAGTTTGCAATCCAACAAGCAACAGATTGTTTGGTTTACGCAAATCAATGTGAGGCATAAAATACCTTTTCTTTTTTTTGCTCCATGTGTACCTGGTAAGATTATCAAGTCAAGACTGTATTCACATTTTAATCAAACAACAGTAAGAGAAAGCAATGCCTGATCATTACCCAAAAGCACTACATCTAGTCATGAAAATAAAGTCAATGCATTTTTGCATCATGCGGTCTTTTTTTCTCTTTAATGTAAAAGTCCTCGATACAAGAGAACCTAAGCTGGCTTAGGTACCTCAGACTGAGCACAATAAAATCAGAAGTCAGAACTCTTTTACCCAAACCTCGTGGCAGTGTTGTGACTCTACGTACTTCTCAGGCAACATAGCAGGTGATGATGTCTTACCGCTGTTTAGCCGCACTACATGTTCCTACACTATTCTTATTCAGCAACAGATTTCTGTCAAAGAAAATGATGTAACAAGCAGTTTTCTGTTCTGCAATCTAGACAAAATGTGCAGTAGAAGGGTAAATAAACTACAGTCCCTCCACTAGATTCCATATAGCTGCTGTGCACTGAAACTAAAGAGGCCCAAATTTACCATCAAAGTATTCTCTCTCAAAACCATTTCTGTTATTATCATTAGCAGAGGAAATAACACCAAGTGTTTTAATTTCTCGTCTTGCAAATTCCATGGGGGATGAGCATCAATAGAGATATACTGGAGGGCAGGCAAGAAACCCCACACAGAGCCTTGAATAATATTGTTTATAATGGTCAAGAAACCGCTTCATTCACTTCTTTCGCTCTCATTATCCAGGAGTGTGTGCCATAGTGACAATTACTGAATGGAGGTTTAGAATGCATAAGAAGCATGTAAAATGTCAACAAAAATCAATAAGACACAGTTTATGCATTTATCACAATTTCTACCCAGCAGTACTGCTGTAAGTAACTTACTGAGAGATGCTGCAATTAGCAGGTCTCACAAGAGATGTGAATTAGCAGCAAAAGAAAGCTGCGCTCCTCTCAAGATAAAGCAGACTCTCTTCTCTCCCTTAAGCTTTTTCTCTCTTTAACCACAAAGCTCAGCTGTTGGGGACTTTCAGCGTCCAACGCTCCCGCAAAACCTCCCTCCTCATTCCCCAGCCCAAATTCATTTGCGTGGGTCCCGTCGCCTTTGTCATGGAGTGAAAAGACCTTCCGAGCAGATCTCTGTAAAGTGCCATATAGTAAGCTACCAATTTAAAAGAAACTTGTTCTCTGGGCAAGGGAAATGCCTGATGAATGACGTTATGTGGCTTGAATATGAGCATTTGGAAACAGCACTCCACAGAGAAGACAGGACTGCATTTTAATTATGGTTTGCCAGCCAGAGGCTACAAGGTTAGGTCCCGTTGTTATCTCCAGTCAGCAGGCTATTTCCCACCGATGGACAGTGGCCATTTGCAGAGTAAATACCCAATTTGCCTCAATAACCATGGTAAAAATTCAATAGAAAACCTTATTTCTAAATCATTTGATAACCTAGACCTTCAGTTGTTACCATCAAGCACCCCAATTAAATGCTAGCCAATTTAACCATCTTTCCAGACATTGGTACATGTATTCACACTCAAGGGTTATTTTTTCAGCTACCAAACCTGGACACTCACACACAAAACTTACATATTTATTATGTGTGCATATATATTTTACTATGTGTGAAACAAGGGATCCCATATATTTTATTATGTGTGAAACATGGGGTCTTTTCCTTCATAACCAGACTGCCACACTGGAGTGGAGCTAAGCCTATGTCATAGGATTCAGCCCACTTAACTCCATCACTGAACTTGCACATATAACTTAGGTATTCAGAAAAGCTGTTCTTCTGAGATGCTTGTATTCTCTGCCATAGCCAATGGCAGTGCCTTTAATTTTCTATATGAGGTACATATGTACTTTAGTAGGATGGTTTTGTTGGGCACTTAGAATTTAAACACAAGTCAGTATCGAAGCACACTGGATTTCACTTGTTTAAGCCAGATAAGCTCTGCCTGAACCCTCCTGTACTCTTGCCACTGCAGTTTCCAAGGAGTTGGGAAAACCCTTTTCAGTGTACTCTCATTCACTGTATCTCATGGATAAAGGTGGTCTTTTGGGAATGCACTGCCAGCTCTAGGACTGTAAATCACAATTATAAGAGGACAAGACTAATCAGATTTCATGCCTCGTGGTGCAAGGAAACAAGAAAGATTTCCGTGGCCTCTTACCTCTTCCTATGAAACACTGCATTGATTGTAATGCCAAGGTCTTCTGAACCAAGAGCTAAAGCAAACTATTTCTGTTCTATCATGCTGAGTCCTGATACTTCAATTACTCCCTTCTTACTGGAGCTGCGGAGCTCTCTGGGAGAGAAAACATGGAGATGGGGATATTTCTATAGCTAATGCCTTGAAATGACTTTGGTTTGTACCACCAGCTACTTAACCACATACACAAAAAAATACCCTTTAGTAAATATGGCCAACCTGCAAGTCACCTTGCAATTATTTATCACCTCATGTTTCAAAACGTCAGGGATCACTAACAAAAGGGTATGGAGAAAGGAGGCCTAAGAGTTTTAATTGTTTCTCCAAGGTTTCCTTCTCACCCTCTACACCAAATCAGTGATTGACCAGGGAAAGCCTTCTCAAAGTCATCCCCTCCTGCAAGCACCCAGTCCTGTCATGGAGGAGACTTTGGAGCAGATTGTCATATTTGCTGTCGTGGCTGAGAGAACACCTCAACTCACAGGGTTGGTCCTTATCTCCCATCCCAGGCTGAAAAAGAATTTTGAAGAGGCTGCAAAATTCAAAAAGCTCCCTCCTCAAGCTGTGCCATCCCAAACCTAGGGCTTGCTGCTCGAGCGATTGAATAATTTGAAATATTTATAAAAGCTCAGCACTGCCCCATTTCAGCTCCTGCTTCACTCAGTTCTTCTCATCTCAGGCTTTCATAAACTGTTTTGAAAAGTTCAGTCAACAGTTCATGCACAGGCTAACGTAACAATAATTCTAGCAAGCTGCAAGTGAAGTAGAACATTTTAAAGTATGCAGGCCTCAAGGTAAAAGGTCTGATTTCATACCTATGCAAGAAACCTCTCACATAAAACTACCACGGTCTACCAGAGGTTTTAAAGCTCCCAAGCCCTCAATGAAGCCAAAGCGAAATGCAAAAACACCCAGACATTCTGAATCAGGCCTAGAGCTAAAAATGGGAGTTTAAAAACCATGGCTTTAAAGTTCTGGGGATGAAATAAAAGCCAGATGTAATAAATTTAAAAAAAATATATACACAGTGACTCCTATGACACAGAAGGCGGCTCAAGGGATTTCCAAAGTCATCGCAGCAGTCACTGTACTACGTATGGTGGCTGTGTAGCTGTGGTGTAATGGTTGCACTACAGCTTCCTGGTTCACCATAAACAAGCTTTCTGTGAGGAAACAATAGTGAAAAGCTGCCAAAATGCTCCTGCAAGAAGTATTTGGGATCCTCTGAGATGAAAGCTTCTATTTAAGGAAAAGATAAGACTCAAATAAAAAACTGTGGAAATTGAAGCATGATAAAAATAAGCTCTAGTCGTGTTAAAATACTTTCCCTTTTCTACGCTGTGCTAATATAG